TGGATAAATTTCATTTCACTAAAGGTAAAGAAAAATCCAAGTCAGACAGCCAAAAACTAAGCTAATTATTTAAAGTGATACATTTGGTTTTGAAGTAGGCCCATACCGCCACTGGGCTTTGTTCCACTTGCAAATGATTTACAATAGTGCCTGAATTAGTGATAAATGAACCTAAAGAAGAGTTTTGGAGGGTCCTCTCAGATAAGTTTAGTTAATGCTCCTGGCTTCAAAAATCTCAGGAACCTTCCTGTGCTTTCTACTTTGCTCACATCAGAAATGCAAGGACAATGACCTTTTATGTTATTTTGATGCTTCTGTTTCCATTCAGAACAGCCAAGTACAAAAAGACATGAGAGTTAAATATAGACTTCAAAAATTAGCCATACTTCCTACCTCAAAAAAGGTTTTGTCCTGATTCACTCTAAATCATGGGATGGCTGGATTTTGATGGGGAATTAGGCCTGGCGTCACCTGTAATGGATGGGCTCAACCCTCAGGATTAAGTGAGGATAAAGTAAGAAGATGATGGGTTAAAGTGGAAGAATAGAAGGGGGTAAATTGGCTTCTTTATGGTGTTTTGGGAGAAGTGCAATATTCTTAGACAATTGGTCTGTAAAATAGAAACCTGTAGAAACAGATAAGTCCTTGCAGGATGTCTAGATTAAGAGGAAGGAAACATTGATGTACTGTACTAGTTTTTAGTGAAATAAATACAGTGGAAGGCCATTGAAGAGGGCCTAAGCCAGACCTTCTGTGTGATGTCAGGGAGATGGGCGAGCAGCCTATACCATTAAAGTCAATGATATAGGTTGAAAGCAAGTCTGGGAGAAGATACTTCATATTTTATTGTTAATTAACATTTGAAGATACTTTCTCCCTCTATATTCTGCTATACATGACCAGTAGAGGTGGCTAAGCTGTTGCCCCACTGGTAAAAGAAAGGCCAGATGGACGGGTGTTCCATGTTAGGGCATTTCAAAGATTGCAGACCCTATTTCTAGGGCACTTCTGTTTGGGTGCTGTCTTCAGGTTGTGCTGCAAAGCCCATCTTTCCCCACATGTCTGTGAAGAGGTAAGTGATGGGTAGGGCTAGTTAGAGGTGGTGTGGGCCTCCAAGGGGAACTATGTGGGTGGGGCAACTGGATCTTGGGGCAGTCAAGTTGTTACAAGATTAGTTGATTTTGCTCAGGTAGTGGATCATTCAGAAATTATAAGACTTTTTATGCTTGTTATAACAAGATAATTAGGAAGTAATTGGTGCTAGTGCCACTGGAATTTAGACTGCCAGGTGCCTACGGACCGTTTTTACACATTGCGCTTTATGCTTCACAAATGTTGATTTTTTTTGTTAGTGGTATTTGGAGTTTGCAGTAGATGCACATTCAGGCTAAAAGCCTTCTCTGACTGTCCCTGACCTGTGCAGCTGTGACTTTCCACTACTGGGCTGGTGAACAGGGGCCTGACTAGGAGCTACAGCTGTGAGTTGTCCCCACAGAACAGAAAGATGGGCAAAGAGGACACTTCATTCCTGGGATGCTGGAGGACTGCAACTTGGGCAGCATATTTCTGGCAAGTAGCCACACATTCATGGAACACAAGCTGGATAATATGGATCAAAAATAAGTGGTGTAACTTTTAAGATGCCTAAAGGGTGCTTAAAACTAGTTTATACATCTTAATGTGTGGACAGTCCAGGGGTTTGGAGCTCCCTAAGGCACCTAAACATAATGTGTAACAAAGCCCTCAGTCACTTTCAAAAATGACATTTAGTTTTTAAATCACTTAAGTGCTTTAGAATATTTTATCCTCACTGTATTTCCAAAAGACTTTCAGGGATGCCCATAACACTGGATAGAAACTCCTTCATTTATGCATTTTTTTTAAAGTACAATAAAAACATGCTGGGTTAGACTCAACCAAAAGATTCAAACAGCTTTCAAAAATTGCTGTTAGTGCACAACACGTTCTTTCGGTATGTAATGTGCCTATGGCCACAGCTAAATTGAATGCAAAATAAAGTGTTGCTAATCACTTATTTTATACGTGGAAGACATATGAGACACTTTAAAATGTAATAATAAGTCTGTTGCTTTCTCCAAAACACCCTGAAATTAGCCAAGCTTTGAAACGTTAAAAGTAAATAATACTGTGAAATGCATATTTCAAAATAAAACAGATTTTACTGTTTCTGCCTAGTGTATGTAAGGTATTTCTGCAGAATATATGCTTTTTCTTCAGCCTTGCTCCCCATGTGTGGACAAGCTGGGCAATGAAAATGGTTAGAAGGCTGGGGCACGTGTCTGCTAAGGAGAGGCTGAGGGAACTGGGGTTATTTATTCTACAGAAGAGAAGACTGAGAGGGGATTTAATAGCAGCCTTCAACTACCTGAAGGGGGGGGTCCAAAGAGGACGGAGCTAGACTGTTCTTAGTGACAGCAGGTGACAGAACAAGGAGCAGTGGTCACAAGCTGCAGCAAGAGAAGTTTAGGTTGGATATTGGGAAAACATTTCTCACTAGAAGGGTGGTGAAGCACTGGAACAGGTTACCAAGAGAGGTGGTAGAATCTCCATCCTGGGAGGTTTTAAGGCCTGGTTCAACAAAATCCTGGCTGAAATGATCAAGTTGGTGATGGTCCTATTTTTGAGCTGGAGATTGGACTAGATGACCTCCTGAGGTCCTTTCCAACCCTAATTTTTTATATTCCTATGATTTTAAAAATGATTGCAGTATTATAGGAACAGAAATATCACTCTCAAAATGTCACCAGAAATGTAGGCAAAGTATAAACATCTGGGGATTAGATTTTTACTTTTACAGTGTCTTAATGTTTCTCTTTCTCAAATACTACTTTTTTGTGAGTATCAACAAAATTATTCCATTTCCTTTGAGAGCAAATCACATTTATAATAGGTATGAACACATTTCAGGAATACTAGAATTACTGTACACCTAGCCACTTAGTGCTCCTATTCCACTAGAAACAAACTTACTAACCATTTAGCTTACCAGAAATAAAGATAACCAAATGCTGCACTTCTGCATTCTCATGCAGGACAACTGGAGGCCTGGTTCTTTAGGTGGGGCTAAGTAGTGTCCAGGACTGCTTAGAAAAATGTGAGTTTCTTCAAATATGGATCACCTGTGCATGAGTTAGTGTCCAAAAAGGCCAACATGGCCACTGAGATCACTCCAGAAACGGGAAGTTTCAGCCATGCCCTTTTTCTACTGTCCATGCCTTTTGTGCTGGTAACTGCAAGCAGGAAGCTTGGTTGAGAGGAAAGATAGATCAGCTGTTAGGGTTTTAAGCTAAGCCTTGGAAGGCTTCAGTTCACATTCCCTGCTCTATTACCATATCTCTGTAAGATATTTGACCAATCACTGACTCAGACCAATTTTCAAAGGTAGTGAGATGTCTAATACCTACTGTGAAGTTTGGCACCTAAATAGCAAAAAGGGTCATAAGTGTTAGGTATTTCATACATATGCTCCAGGAGTGTGTGCTTGGATGGGAGGAGGTGGGGGATGTGCTTTAATTAGAGTGGCTCCAAGAGTCACTCTAATTAAAGATCCTGGAGCATATCGTGTATCAGCATCCCATGCTGAAAAATGGCAACGGGGGACTTTAACTAAAGCTGCTCAAACAAGCTTTAGTTAAGCACCTCCATCACTATTTCTCAGCATGGGGATGCTAATACACAAGATGCTGGAGTCTACTGGAGGGCAGTAATTGCCACACTCCAGTAGACTCAATTCATTGAGTCTGCTCTGATGCTGTAATGTGCTATGCCACCCTCTTTCTGTAAAAGTAGATAATGCTTTTATGAGTTCTCTACAATGGAATCTAAGCATTTAATGTAACTTAACACAGCGGAAAGTCAGTGCCCTAAGTTTTTACAGGGAGCAGAGTGGGGAAATTGGCTCCATCTCTAGTTGTATATGTAGATGTAATAATAGATAGTGAGAGAAGCCTTTTCCAGGGGTCCTCATACTTTAATCAGACAGTAAAATCTGTGTCTTCATGGAACCCGAAAAGTGTGTGAAGTCCTCCAATTGCTTGTATTCCTTCTTGCTAAAGGCTGGCCAAACTTTTTTTCTGGTCCTGCAGTGAGTTTCTAACTGATGCAGACCCTGCCACTGTGAAACACTCTGACTTCAGTGGGACTCTTCATTGGCATATTGAGTCATCTGCATGTACTCTTATTAGAGAATGGGACCCTAGCCTGCCACAATAGAAGTATCAGCAGCAAGGACATTTATTTTTTAAAAACTGCTTGCTCTGAAGTTCTGACCAGGCAACAATCAATTTAATATTATTTATTAAAGCCTTTTCCAGTCATGCTCTCCAAGGCAAATACTGGAGCCTACTTATAGATTTCTTCTCCTTGCCTACACCAACAGTTTGCCGTCTCACTAGCACTCACTGGTGCAACCAATGACAATAACAGCATTAGAGTGAATTGGAATCAAGCATATTTTGATCATTGTGTTATTTAACCCACTTAGACCTGTACAACAGGTCTAAGTCAGGTAGAGGAGTAGGCAACCCTCAATCCTTCTGGATCATGGTGTATGTGTGACAGGTCACCAGAGCCATCCCTAGGGGTGTGCGGGGCCTGGAACCTATCAGCCTGTGTGGGGCTGGGGGGCAGCGAGCGGCTGGAGCGGCGGGGGTGGGTGAGCGGCCAGAGGTTGGAGCAGGGAGAGGGAGGGTGGCAAGTGGCTGGAACGTGGAGCTAGCAGTGTGCAGCAGCCACAGCAAAGTCTGTACAGTGCTGTCTGCAGGGCTCCCCAAAGCTCGGGGCAGTCACCCTGATTTTCCCCCCACCCCTTAGGGACAGCCCTGGAGGCCACCTTGATCTTCAAGGTGTATGCATATGCCTATGCAGAAGTATGGAGGAGTGGAGCCTGTCCAAACCTTCCATCCCCACTGTAAGCCATTGAGGGTGCAGAGAGAAGTGACAATTTTCACCCTATCTGGCCACAAAGTGTTCTATAGCCACAACCAGACAAGTGCATGGCTGCAGATAGCTTCAAAAATGCCCAACCAAGTGAAAATCTGAACTCTTATTGCATGTGGGGTCAGATGTTTCAAACCATACTGTCTTCTGTAACTTCTTTCTGCGCTGCCTGCCAGGCTTGAGCTGTTTTCAGAATGGGAGGGGGGAAAGGGCATGAATGGAATTTGGTCTGGGGGCTTTCAGCCTCTGCTGGAGGGTAGGCCTGGTGTATTGGAGTCCCCCTAAGGTGGGGGGGCTCCATTTAACTCATCCCACCCTCCATGGCTGACTGAGGAACCTCTAGAACAAGCTCCCTCTCCTCCCTTCGCCCCCTTCCATTCTGAAACTTTGCAGCCTCGCAGAGAGGAAGGGCCATTACTAGGGAAAGCCTGTAGTTGTAAGCGACAGCCAGCGGCTAGATTCCCCTCCTCCCGCAACCAACAGTGAACTTCTTTTTGGTCTGGGGGATCATTGTAACTCAGCACTTCCTGCAAAGCATTCTCAGTTGCAATGGGGAGCTGCACTTCTGTCTGCATCCTGAGACAATATACTAAGGCCAAACCAAGTTCAGATGCTCAGGGCCTCAATGGCTGCAGTTATATATGCATCTGGGAACCGAACCCAGGTATCCTGCCTGACCAATAAGGATTCTACCACTGAACCATAACAGCAGGTTCCAGACAGGTGTAAGCCAGCAGTAAAAATACTAGTGACCAGTTTATACTAACTTTCCCACTGTTGCTACCATTTGCAGAGGTGTACTGCTGTGATGGGAGTTTTTAAGAAAAATACCAAGGAAGATGAGCACTTTTTTGGTTAAAAATGTGGGCATTGCATTACACCTACTGTCTCATTCAGCTACTGCTGGGCAAGTTAAGAAGAGCTTCAGATAATCTCAAGCATCACTGGTTTAAATTGCCTTAAATTATCCCAGGCTTTATCTTTTCCTACATTACTATGAATGATGACGTATGTCAAGTGTACTCAGACTCTTAGTTTGTTGCTAGTCTCCTCGAGATAAATTCAGGTGAGGTGCAGAAATGTCAACGCAGCTTAAATAACATGCTCTACCTACATAACTGTTGTTGTTTTTAAATTTTGCCAAGCTATTTTTCTGTTCAGAAAATTGCCTCTTGTTAAAATTTGAAACTAAAATGTCTATATTGAAACAATGTCAGTTTATCGTAGTAAGGTCAAGTTTTAATACATTAGAAATTTCAGAACCATCAAAGGCAAGGGTAGACCTTACAGTGTGCTCTGAAAGATGGTTAGAGTTTACCACATGAGCACAGGGGAAAAAATCTATTCCAATAATAAATTCTATCCCTACCCTGTATTATGGATATAAAAAAATCTCCCATAAAGTCCTTGATCCTGCGAACAATTGTGCATGTGAGTAGACTTTAAATTTAATCTTCGTGTTAAGGATGTATATACATGTTTCCAGGATTAAGGCTAGAGTTAGGTTAATATTTCACTGTAGAAGGAGTATCAGCTGTAGATGCTCAGTCTTCCTGTGTGCTGTGCCATTTTTACTACTTCGTGCCTGTTATATGTCCAAAAATACATGGCTCTTTTAGTAACTCACCTCGGGCTGAGATGATCAAACCCTGTATTATTTTTCAGGATAATTCTCTCTGTGTCATGCTGCCACATGAATCCATTTACCTCCAACTCAAAAGGAGTTGTGAAAATGGAGAAAGTGGAAATGTCTTGTTGGCGTAAACAAAATAATGTTGGGGAAGTCTCTGAAGGGAATATACTAGATGGAGCTCAGTGATGAATTTTAGGCAGAGGATGTTTGTTGAGTTTTTTTTTTCTTTTTAATTAAAGGCAACTCCTGAGATGAGAACCTGGACTCTGACTGTAGGTCTGAGTGCTTTCCTGAGGATGGAATAGATATTTGGTGTATTCATAGTGCCATAAAAACAGGACAGCTCCCTGTTTCTACTCCATACAGGCAACCCCCATTTAACACTCATTTTAAATTGATATATGATTTCACTTAGAACTCAGCAAGTTTCATTATAATGCTCACAGTCACCATCTTGGGTCATTAAAAAAATTGCAGTCACCATCTTGAGTCATCAAATACTTTCTATTTCACTTAATGCTCATTTCACTTAACACTCAAGAATCAATTAAGAGAGCTAAGCCAACTGGCAAAGTAGGTTCCTTGTCCATTTGGGAATACCCCTAACATAAGACTCACTGTATAAAAGTGTTTTACCCCACTGAACTCCACAAAGGAGCATGAGATAGTATTTGTTTTCTTCTCCTAGAGTGCATCTACATGTGCAATTAGTGCAGATGAATAAATTCTGGAGTTGATTGCTGTGGAGTTAATTGTTCCCAGCCATATGTTCAACTGGCACTCCTAGGAGCAGTTAACTCTAGACCAATAAGCTGCAGAGTTTATTCATGTGCAGCACGTGGAGCCCAGTCAGAGCAGCCCTGGCTGACAGGAGGCCCTCCAGGTCAGCCTGCCAGCCCAGGGATGCTCTGACTGGGCTCAATGTGCTGCGCAGAGGCTCTCTGGGAAACAAGGGTGCTTCAGTGTGGGCTACGTGGCAAGCAGATACTGCACTGAAGCACTGGCATGCCCCAGCCAGCCAGGTCAGCATCTACACATGCACTGCTGTGCACAAAAAAACTCCACAGCAGGGTAGTATTTCTCCTAATAGGGGCACATGTGTAGATGCTGCAACTTTTACTGTGGAACTAATTAGTCAGCTCCACAATAAATGTCTTGTGCAGATGCCCCTACTGTTCCACTGTGAGCATCTAGCCTATCATGAAGTTCTTCCATTCAGTGGCCTCACCCTTGTTTGGCTCTGAGGAGGATCAATATCAGTGCTTTCCATTTTCTATGTTTGTTTCTCTGTTTTCCTATGAGCCCAAGGACCTGCTGTATGTAAATGACAGCTTCCAAAAGTAAAGCCTCTGGAATACAACCATGATTTTTTTTCCTCACTATATATGAAAGTAGGTAGCCCCTCTATGCAGGGATGAAGATGGCCCATGATATATCCTGGGTGACCTGTATTATATCTATTCTAGTTGTGTGTTGATGGGTGCCACTTTGTTTAAGGATCTCTGTACCTATGAAATTGTGATGAACCAAAAAGTCGACTGTTTTGATAGCTAAAATTTCCATTTCCAAGTAGGGCTTATGCCCCATGTATTGGAAGGCGGGGGAAAGACTAGGAACATTTCAAAAAGACAGCTCTGAGAGTCAATCCTGTCCAAAAATATCTTATGCTGTTTTTAAACAATTCATCAGGGCTGTCAATAACAGGTATTCTGGGGTGTAAATGGGCATCGCTTTTTTTTCTGAAGGATCCAGTCCACTATTTCTGGATTGCCTAACAACCCCATTAAATAAATGTACAACAAATTGCAGAGCCACCCAAGTTAGCTTGGGTAATAAAAATGTTACAGCTGCATAGTGTGGAGCTGTACCCAAGATAGTATATCCTTTCCAGAAGTGCTTTGTGCTAACTTAGTTTTACTGCTTCTGGTATGCAAGCTAACTTATTTAGGGCTAGGTCAGTGTACTGCTCTGCATTGTGCAGTGTAGATGTATCCTTTTGTCTCACCCTGTAAATATCTGCAAGTTTGATACTTCTGCATAGTGCCCTGGGCATAGCTTCACTGGCTGACAAATTTGCCATAATATGCTCCGTCCAGTCCTACATACAGAGCTGCCTCTGAGTTTTTTGTTTTTAAAAAATCAAGCATTTATTTGGTATGAAAGCAAATATTTTGGTACCTATACTTTCTAAGCTACTTCAGTATTTTTGTTATATTTTCTCCATCTATCCCTTTTTTTTCCCCTTGCCATAAAAATGCTGAGTTTAGTTCAGTCTGAATGAAACTGGTGGGGGGCTGGGAGAGAAATGCCCATATTAGAAATAATTTCTTCTTTTTTTGGTGGTGGGGGGGTCATTTCTCACACAACATGGGGAAAAAAAAGAAATGTTCCTCAATGGTTTCTTTGAGGGAGCCTCCAACCATTCATCTTCCTTCCCCACTGTATTTTTACTTGTTTGTGCAAAAAGAAATTAAGTGACATAAATATAACTTTATTGATGACGTTCTTTGAGAGTGACCCACCATTTCATATTTCCTGAAACTGGCTAAAGCAGTTCACTGTTTCTTGCCACATACCCAAAACATATCAACTATGATTCTATGAACAAACTCAGCAGGTATTCTACATACATGCAAATGTCCTGCCTGATGGGGGTCATTTTAAAAATATGATGAATATTCCTCTTCTGTTCTAACTTGTGCTAATTTTCTACATTTTTGAGGTGAAACAGAGACAGACAGTGTGGATTCTCTCTAGTTTTATCTTCCAAAGAAGTACATAAAAACATAGTAAGAATTTATTGATAAATTTACTTAGGTACCAAGTCTGATTCTGATCACATTCATAGAAGAGAGAATCAGGAGTAAAGCTGATGAAAGAGAAATATTCCATTGGCAAAAAATTTCATAGTTTTCTAAAGAAATATAGTTCAGGTAAATAGTCTCAGCCCTTGTTAATCTGTCTGGTTGCTAAGTATGTTGTATAATTGGTTGTGTGATATATTGTTTGGTTTCAAATGAGTGATATTCAAATGTCAGTTATGATAATACCTTGGGTATCTAAATAGATAAAATACATATTTTGTGAAAACTTTGGGATGAGTAAATATTGAAATGGCTTCCCAATAGTATTCAGTCATATTAATTGCACACATAGACATGCCCAGAATCGTAGAAAATTAGGGTTGGAAGGGACCTCAGGAGGTCATGTAGTCCAACCCCCTACTCAAAGGAACATCATCCCCAGCTAGATCACCCCAGCCAAGGCTTTGTCTACTTGGGTCATAAAAACCTTCAAGGATGGAGATTCTACCACTTCTCTGGGTCACCTGTTCCAGTGTTTTACTGCCCTCCTACTGAGAAAAATCTTCCTAATATCTAATCTACACTTCCCTTGTGACAACTTGAGACCATTGCTCTTTCATCTGTCATCCGCCACTACTAAGAACAGTATAGCTCTATCCTCTTTTGATCCTTCCTTCAGGTAGATAAAATCTGCTCTTAAATCTCCTCTCAGTCTCCTCTTCTCTAGATTAAATAAGCCCAGTTCCCTCAGTCTTTCCTTAGAAGTCATGTGGCCCAGTCCCCTGCCTGTTTTTGTTGCCCTCTGCTGGACTGTCTCCAATTTGTCCACCTCCTTCCTGTAGTGGGGGGCCCGAAACTGAACACAGTACTCCAAATGTAACCTCACTAGTGCTGAATAGAAGAGAATAACCCCTTCCTTTGACCTGCTGGCAACACTCCTACTGACAACCCAGTATGCCATTAGCCCTCTTGGCAACAAGGGCACACCGTTGGCTCACATTCAGTTTGCTGTCCACTGTAACCCTCAGGTCCTTTTTTGTAGAGCTGCTGTTCAGCCAGTCAGCCCCCAGCCTGTACTGGTGCATGGGATTGTTCCATCGTAAGTGCAGGACTTTGCACTTGTCCTTGTTGAACCTCAGGAGATTCCTTTTGGCCCAATCCTCCAATTTGTCTAGGTCACTCTGAATCCTAGCCCTACCCTCCAGTGTATCTACTACTCCCCCCAGCTTGGTGTCATCCGCAGACTTGCCAAGGGTGCACTCTATGCCATCTTTCAGGTTGCTTGCTGATGAAGACACTGAATAAGAGTGGCCCCGGGTCAGACCCCTGGGGCACTTCACTTGATACTGGCTGCCAACTAGACATTGAGCCATTGATTACTGCCCTCTAAGCCCAATGCTCCAGGCAGTTTTCTATCCACCTTACAGTCTACTCACCCACTTCCTTACATTGACTGTGAGAATGTTGTGGGAGACCGTATCAAAAGCCTTGCTAAAATCAATCAGGACTTATGATAGAAATGATATTTTTTTATTAGACCAACAAGATTTTTGTGGAAATAAAAGAAAAAAAATTGCTAAAATCAAGGTATATCATATCCACTCATCTTCCCACATCCAAAGAGCCAGTCACCTCATCATAGAAGGCAATCAGGATGGTCAGGCATAACTTGCCCTTGGTGAATTCATGCTGGCTGTTCCTGATCACCTGCTTCACCTTCAAGTGCTTGGATATGAATTCCTTGAGGAGCTGCTCCATTATTTTTCCTGGGACTGAGGTGAGGCTGGCTGGTCTGTAGTTTGCTGGATCCTTCTTTTTCCCTTTCTTAAATATGGGCACTATGTTTGCCCTATACCAGTCATCCAGGACCTCTCCTGACCACCATGAGTTTTCAAAGTTGATGGCCAGTGGCTCCACAATCTCATCAGCCAACTGTCTCAGCATCCTTGAGTGTCCCTTGTCCAGCCCTACGGACTTGTATACATCCGGGTTTTCTAAGTAGTCCCTAACCTCTTCTTTCACCACTGTTAGCTGTTTACATCCTTCCCAATATGTGCTGCCCAGTGCAGTAGTGTGGGAGCTGACCTTGCCTGTGAAGACTGAGATGAAGAAGGCATTGAGCACTTCAGCCTTTTCTGCATCCTCTGTCACAAGGTTGCCCCCTCCATTCAGTAAAGGACCCACACTGTCTCTGATCCTCCTTTTGCTACTGACATACTTGTAGAAACCATTGTTGTTACCCTTCATTACTCTTGCTAGCTGAAAGTCCAATTGCACTTTGGCCTTCCTGACTTCATCGCTGCATGCCCGAGCAATACTCTTATACTCCTTCCTATTAATTTGTCCAAATTTCCACTTTTTATAAGCTTCCTTTTTCTGATTTAGATTACTGAAGAGTTCCCTGCTAAGCCAACCGGGTCTTCCCCCACTTACTAGACTTCCTGTGCATTGGGATGGTTTGTTCCTGCACTTTCAGTAAGACTTCCTCAATGTATAGCCAGCTCTCTTGGACTTCTTTGCCCCTCAGATTGGCTTCTCAGAGGATCCTACCCATGAGCTCCCTGAGTGAAATGAAGTCTGCTTTTTCTGAAATCCATGGTCCTTACTGTGCTGCTTTCCATCCTTTCTTTCCTCAAGATCCCAAACTCAATCATCTTGTGGTCACTGCAGTTCAAGTTGCCACCCACTACTACATTCCCCACCAATTTTTCCCTGTTTGTGAGCATCAGGTCAAGAAGAGCATGGCCCCTAGTTGGCTGCTCCAGCACATGCACAATGAAGTTGTCCCCAGCACTCTCCAAAAAATTCCTGGATTGCCTGAGCATTGTTGTTTTGTCCTTCCAGCAGACATCAGGGTGATTTAAGTCCCACATGAGAACCGGAGCTTGTGATTGGGAAGCTTCCGTTAAGCTGTTTGAAGAAAGTCTCATCTACCACTTCTGTCTGGTCTGGTGGTCTATAGCAGACACCCACCATGACATCACCCTTGTTCCTCTCTCCTCTGACCCTAACCCAGAGACTCTCAACAGGGCTATCTCCAGTTTCATACTGGAATTCTGAGCAATCATATGGCACTTTTACAGTGCAACTCCTCCTCCCCCTCTCCCTCTGTCGTTCCTGAACAGTTTGTACCCAGTTCAGTAGTCATGTGAGCTATCCCACCGGGTCTCTGTTATCTCAATCATGTCATACTTCTGTGACTGTGCAAGGATTTCCAATTCTTCCTGCTTGTTTCCCAGGCTCTGTACATTTGTGTACAGGCATGTTAAGTAACTAGTCGATTACCCTGATTTCTCAGGAAGTATGAGAGCACCTCCCCTGTTGCCCCCTCCTGCTTGCACTTCCTCCAGGTGTCCCACTTCCCTGATTACCTCAGGGCTTTGGTCTCCATCCCTCAGCAAACCTAGTTTTAAAGCCCTCCTCATTAGGTTAGTAAGCCTGTCTAAAACGATACTTCTCGTGGTTTCTTTTGGTGCAGTCCTCCAATTTGCCAAGGTCTGTCCGAATCCTAGCCCTACCCTCCATCGTATCTACTATTGTCCCCCAGCTTGGTGTCATCCATGAACTTGCTAAGGGTGCACTCCATCCCATCTTCCAGGTGATTGAAAATATTGAAAAAGACCAGCCACCGGGGCACTCCATTTTACACTGGCTGCCAACTAGACATCAAGCTATTGACTACTATCCTCTGATCCTGAAGATCCAGCCAGTTTTCTACCCACCTTACAGCCCATTAATTCAGCCCATGCTTCCTTAGCTTGCTTGCAAGAACATTGTGGGAGACCATACCAAAAGCCTTGCTAAAGCCAAGGTATATCATGTTGACTTCTCTTCCTGGCATCCACAGAGCCAGTCATCTGAAAAACTTGGTTTATAAGGGCCACTTCAGGAGCAAATTTGTGTTCAACATAATTTAAAAAAAAAAAAGGTAGGCAGGAGGCAGGGAAAAGAATAACTAGTTCCAAGAGGCATAAGCTTTTCTAGACTACAGTCTATTTTGTCTGTTGCTATAAATGGCTAAAGGTTGCATGAAAAGGTTAAGGGTGACATCAGCATGGTCTAGACATAGATACAGAGTGAATAGAAAATTTGAGAAAAGGGAGCTCTTCAGGCTAGTAGAGATATGACAAGAGCCAATGGCTATATATTGAAGCTAGACAAATTCAGGATAAAGGAAGGCTTTGTGCTTTCTTTTTGTGATTCTTTTTTTTTTTTTTTTTTTGGAAACTCAGAGAATCTAATAAAGGAAACAAGTTTAATTTGCAAGAATTAGGTGGTCAGTTGTAGTATTCTACATTTTTTATAGGTCCCAAACCATCTACTCATCATTAATTAAAATGCCTTGCTGTCATATGTATTAAGCATCCAGCATTTCAAAATGCTGATGTGGCACTTTAACACATCAGTTGATGAGTTTTAGTTAAAGTGCCCCCATGGTCATTTTGAAATATTGAATGCTTAATACACATGATGATAAGGCACGCTGGAGCATTCTAATTAGAATTATCCGGCAGACTCAATTAATCTGCTCCGATGCAGTCAAATTAGAACACTATAGAGCATGTCTATAGGCACCCCTTTTGAGTTACCTTGGTGGCTTTCAAAATAAAAATGTTTTAGTTTTCAAATATTCAATTCACAATTTCCCACATCATTCATGTAAAACTTGATTTTATCAAAATTATCTGATTTTTTTTTTCCATGACAACAGGTCAAACAGTATTTTTCAATCAACTCTACTTCTAGAATGCCAGTACAATACTTTTGTGCTGCTAAAGTGAGATTTAAGTGGCCAGATAGAGACATTACACTTTTACTGGCATAAGTGCTTGAAAGCCAGTCTAAATGCCTAACAGTACAGTAGTTTGTCACACCTAAGGTGCCTGTATAATAGCCTAGAGGCTGCTCTGGCTCGCTGTAATTGTAGCGTGCCAGAGCAGACTCAATTAATAGAGTCAGCTAGAGCGTGGTAATTACCATGCTCCAGGCAACCTCCATATCTCATGTATTAGTGTCCTCGCACTTCAAAATGGCAAACAGGCACTTTGTCTAAAGCTCACTCAATGAGCTTTAAATTAAGCACCCCCACCACTATTTTGATGTGCAGGGGTGCTGATATGTGACACACTCTGGGTGCTTGAATTAGAATGGCTCTCAGAGCCACTCTAATCAAAGCACCCCCATACACACACACTCTCAGAGCATGTGTAAAAATGCCCATAGAGTGGTTTAAAAATGGCAGAACCCAGTCTAAGATAGACCTGGATCGATGTGCACTCAAACTTAGACAATTTAGGTTAGATCAGGGAGTTGAACTTCTGTGCCAGATCAGTGATTCCCTTGGCTGTTGGTGGGTCTGACTGCACTGGGCAAATTTAATACGTTTAAAAATCTTCCAAAAGCTTTTGAATAAACTGCCAGGGTTATAACTAGTTTTGAGCATGTTTTATATTAATCTGCTGTTTTGTTTGGCTTACAGGGAAAGCTCTGTCTGGACAGATGTAATTAGACTGAAGATAGTTTGCTGAAATCCTCTCCACTAAAGTGATCTTGACAAGCTGTAGTTGCAACCTTAGTTTTACAGACATTGCATTACCAGTGCTACTTAAATGCATACATGGAGGAACAGAAAAAGTTTTTCACTTTCTCTGATGCTTCATAGGCCAGTGACCTTTATAAATGACAGCAAATCTCTGCTGAATGAAGGATGAAGGGAGAGAGGAAAACATTAAGATATTTTGTCCTACTTTTTTGTGGCGTGTTGAAAACAATCACAAGGCCTATTTGTCATGCTCTAGCTTTGTCTCCGTTCCCCAGTAGTGTCTGACAGGCTGAATGAAGAAAGTGTAAGTGAAGATGAATTGGCAAAAGGTATCACTTCTGGTCTGTCTAATTTCGTACCAGATGAAAAATATATATAATATCAAGTTGGTTAAGTGAAAGAAATATTAAGATCAAGGAAGCTGGGTGGCTAAAATAAGAGCCCTTTGGGCAATGTAAGGACCAAATGAATAAACCAAATCTGTCTCTCATAATTTAAGTACTTCAATTACTGCGAGTTATTTGTATCATTTAAAATAACAACAACCATCTTGGTTCTATTGAAAAGGAACACACGCACATACACGCATGCACAAAGAAGTTCCAGAAGTGCTTGGAAAATTTCCCTAATGGGAAGGATCATTAAATTGTAGACTTATCGCCCAAGGGGAAGTATGTCCTTTTGCTTGGAATCATTTAGAACTAAACTCGAGAAGAAAAAAATGTTCAGGCAGACTGTAGGGGGAAATCCTGCATTAGTGGCGGGATTAATGAGATGACCTACTAGGATTTATCTACTTCTAGATTCTGTTTAATGAAAGGACATGCCTGAGGTGGGGTGATAGAAATTGTACAGGGTCTGTAAAGGGCTTTCCCTAGGTAAATGGACACCAGGTCTCACGTTTTCTGCCAGAATTCTGGGGCCAGGTGGTATTTTTGGTCTACAAACTTCTTTCTTCCCATATCAGCAGCTGCCTAGACAAAAGTTTTAAGATCCCCTGGGTAGTACTTATGAGTAGATGTTAAGGCTAAGGTTCTGCTAATGATCCCTATTTTCACCGCCCAGCCCCCCAAATCTACAATCTAGGCATGTATGGGTTGTATTTCAATTCAGTGCAGCTGACATGCAACATTTACAGTCACCATGCTAGCTAGCTGTGTGTGGTTCCTGTGTACAGATCTATGGAATACTTTAAGCCTGAAAGATGATAGATAGATCATGCTTGCGATGAACACACCCACATTCCTCTAGTGCTCTTGAGATTCAGGTAAATATAGAAAGTTGTTATTCCATAAACATGTAACAACAGGACATATATTTATCAGTCAAAAGGTGCATGAAGATTCTGAGCAAGTTAAGGCATAAGGTTGATAAAAAGACTCCACACTCATGAAGCATGGGTTTATTAGATAAATTCTATGGGTTCTGAAATATCCCCAAGCCAAATGGACTGCAGCTTTCATCAACTATAAAGCCTGATTATCTTCCAGTTGATGTCAAAGAAAGTTTTGTTCTGGCTTCAATGGGAGAAGGATGAAATGCTTAGTTAAAAAATCCTTTATAAGAAACTAAATCACAAGTCCTGACTCTGATGTCATTTTCAGCAATTCTATGCCAGTATGAATTCACTGACTTCACTGGAGCTATTTCTGATTAATAGTGTGTATGACATAAGAACCATACTCCATCTTCTATTCCTTGAGAAATCAATGTATTTTTAGTGATGTCAAATTTTTTTTAAAAAAAAAAATATTTTAAGCTTTATTCAAGTTTCTGTTAAACTCTGCTAGCCAAGACCTTAGTTTTCAACCAACAAACATATCTTTCTGATGTTTTTAATGCAATACTGGGCGGGGGGGGGAGTGACAGAAATATTGCACAAACAAAAGTAAAAAAGACAAAGGTAGGTCCACTCCAAATACTTCAAACAATATTAACATTTTTGGAATGTATAACAAAAATCATTCTTTCTTTTTCTACCAACTATGTAGAATAGCAAGTTTTATCCCTTCAGTGCATTCTTTAGGTACCAGATTTCTGTCACAGACACTATTATTTCAAACTTCCTGCCTGTTTGTAAGAAGTAGTCATCAAAAAATAGTGAAAGGCATGACAGAATGTCTAGCTGAAATTATACTCCCACTAAATTGATACGAGGCAGAGAGCGTGGGAGGCATAGAGAGAGAGAGAGTGTCATCTAGATCTAGATTGATAGACACTGTATGACCTGATACTTCAGGGCAATGGGTGTAACAGTCACTTCATACACAAATGCCTTAATGTGGTCTACAGCATGATTACTTCAGGTCCTGTTGCACTTGCACATAATGGTGATAAGTTTTGCATGAAAATGGGGCATTGATGGCTTCTTATTTAGGCTAGAGTTTTTAGGAGCTGCATCAGCTGGTACAAATGCAGTATGATGAGCTGACTGTCCCCCACTAACTTGGGGGTTCTAAAATCAAGGTACTAAGAATCAATACTGAAGTAATAACTTATTTTGATTCATCATATATGCCCTGCTTCTGTTTTTTTTTTAACCAGTAGCAAATATTGCCAGAGTTTGCTGGGTTTAGCGCAGATCGTTGTGATACAGCAATGCTGTTCCAGTGGTTGCAGCTTCAGCTCCAGACTTTGGCTACCTGTGTTCTGCCACAGACTGCTGGCTTGGCAAGTTGGTTAGTTTCTCAGTGTTTCAGTTCTCCATCTGTAAATTGCACTTCCCTACTTCATTGAGGAGTTGTGAGAATCAAGAAAGA